TATGTTCAGTCAGTCCTGGGAGACACATCTTAGAAAACTACTAAATTCAACACAGCTGCTCACCCCAGCTGAGACTTAAACTCAGTACCTGTGTGTATGTGTGTGCGTTAATGTGGTCCCCACCTAAGAACTGAACTAGAAACCTTAGAACTAGTTTATTAACATGTTAATGAAGTATGAACAAGTGAGAATGATCTGAATAAACAATGACCAAACATGGTGCTAAATGCAAGTAAATGGTCACATTTCTATGATGCCTGAACACTGTAATTTTACAGGAACTTCCCATCAATTTGCAGTTTTCTTAAATTACAGTACTTCATTGTATTTTGCAATAAAATCTGGGAGCTAATGTCCATTCTTAATAGTTTATAACCTGGGAAAAGTTAAAGTTCAACTTTAGTTAATGTCTCACAAATTCATTAATAAAGATCTTTTAAACATAATTAGTTCTTTAGAAACCATTTCCAGGTCATTTGTAAGCATCGACCAATAGCAAGGTATTGATCATAAAGAATAAATAAGTTTTACTTTAGTTTTGGTCTTACTTTGTACAACCCCATTTCCAAAAAGGTTGGGACGCTGTGCAAAATGTAAATAAAAACAAAATGCAATGATGGTCAAAGACAACATATCAAATGTTGAAACTGAGCAATTTGATTGTTTTTTGAAAAATATATGCCTGTTTTTAATTTGATGCCAGCAACATATTCCAAAAAGTTGGGACGGGGCAACAAAATGCTGGCACACCTGGTGGTTAATTGCCAACAGGTCAGTAACATAATGGGTATAAAAAGAGCATCACAGAGAGTCTTTCAGAAATGAAGATAGAGAGGGGTTCACCACTCTGCGAAAGACCGTGCAGGCAAATAATGATTCTCAACATAAAACAGCAAAGAACATGGGGATTTCTTCATGTATGGTACATAATATTATCAAAAGATTCACAGAATCCAGAGAAATCTTTGTAAGCAGGGGACAAGGCTGAAAACCAATACTGGCTGGCCATGATCTTTAGGTCCCCAAGTGGCACTGCATCACAAAACAGACATGATTCAGTAGTGGAAACGGCTGAATGGGCTCAGGAACACTTCTGAAAACCATTGTCTGTGAACACAGTTTGTCGCTGCATCCACAAATGCAAGTGAAAACACCGCTATGCAAAGAAGCAACTATATATACACAAAACCCAAAAATGATGGACTGGGACAAAATGGAAAAGTATCCTTTCATCCAGCAATTCAAAATTTGAAATTCTTTTTGGAAATCATGGATACCACGTTCTTTGGGCTAAAAAATAAAGGGACCATTCGGCTTGTTATCAGCGCACAGTTCAAAAGCCAGCATCCATGACGGTATGGAGAGTGCATTAGAGCACATGGCATGGGTGACTTGCACATGTGTAAAGACACTATTAATGCTAAACGATATATAGATATACATTGGAGCAACATATGCTGCCATCCAGATAACATCTTTTTCAGGGAAGGTATTGCAATCACTGATTAGCAACTGTTCAACTATCCACCATTACTTCAGTCAAGCTTTCAGGTTTTTTATTCCTTTTAAGCAGTGAGAGTTTCATTTCCTTTTAACTTAAACCTCCAGATATTTCAAAGATATACAAAGAAGATCTGTTAAAGCAAAACTTGATACTTCAGAGTAGAAACATCTATTTCTAAAGCTATAAAGATATATAAAGATATAAAATGTCAGCCACCCAAGTTAAAGAAAAAGGATGCATAACCCTTGTTGGGAGTGATTTGTGAATTGCCTCTTACCTTACATAAAGTCGTCAGAGGTAAGATATAAATAAAAGGATAAAACATTTCTTAAGCCTGCCGTGGCAGTATGTTTTAGTTTAGGATGCTTGATGGCTTGGGAGTTTGAGTTTGCTGCTTTCTTCTGTCTTTGTTTTGTATATTTCAGCTGTGCAATTTTAATTTGTCACTTTCATTGCTGTAAATGTTTTTCTTGTGAAGAGCTGACGCATGCTTTATAGGGAAATTTTGCATTGGTTTTTATTAACTTGCACTCTTGAGAATATGTGTGTAATCTTGCTATTGTTTTGTCTTGAAAAAAAATATATGGGCTTATAGCGGTGATGTGTCCAACACTCCAGTTAGTATGCTACCATCATGGTATAGCAGTGATAATGTAAACATTTCCTGACCACCCAATGTAGGTGGGCATGTAGGGGCCCAGCAAACATTTGTGTCCAGGGGTAAATAACATGATGATCTGGGATCTACATATCTGGGATCTTCTTGAAGCATTTTTTCATGTTGCATCTGCCTTATTCTTCTGCACCCAGTGCATGACTGATAAACATAGTTTCTGAAATAAAAAAACCTGACTGGACTTATTGGGAACACACGTGGGCCTAATAAATAAAATGGTCCCTTTAAGCCCAGTCCAGTTTTTTAATCTTTTATATTCCTTAATTTTTAAATAAAACATAGAAAACCCGCTAAAAAAAGATTAATATTTCACTTCATTATAAAATATTGAAAACTCAGATATAGGTGGGCTTATTGGTGGTTTTCACCTTCATTATCAAGTATGTACCAATGTTGACTGAGATCGGGTACTGATTTGATACCAGTGCTCTGCAAGGACACATGTCTTTCCTAGTAGCAAAGTAACATCATATACAGTAATTTGGACCCTGTATTGTCTGTTACAATGCTCTGGCTAGCACATACAGTACCTGTGAAAAGTGTGGACACTACTACTCATAGAAGGGTTTTCCGTTGTTTTACTCTTTGCCTCATTTTAGAAGAATAGTGAAGACATCAAAACTATGAGACAACACATCTAGACGTATGCAAAGATGTCTTAGATTTTGTTTGCATTTAAGTATAAGATTAAAATATCTTTTTTAAGATCAAGGAAAATGTATATTCAGTAATGTATATTCAAACCACTTGACTGGTAGCGAGTATATATTTACATTCCAGGAAAACACATTCACACAGTGGTGACCTGTGTACTCTGAGCCAACGTACCAGCCATGTACAACTAAAGAAAACAAAAGGATTCTTTAGCCTCCTGATTACCTCACTGCCTTTTCCTGGCTTTCTATTTAAAAGCCTGTAGTACAGCTGTGTGAGACACATGCATACACACCTCAGCCACACACTCCTCCCAAAATAGGAATGGAAGAGTTATTGGTTTTGATAAACTAACAGACTCCTCAGATATGAGATTTGACTAACAGTTAGGCTTTAAACTGAAGTTTTTACTAAAGGTTACCTTAGAAATGCAGTAAACAAAGTAAAAATATGTTACATTCATGTCTTACAAGCTCCAAAAGTCAGTGAATGTGTTTACATGCACTCAATAATGTGGATTTCTGCAGTTGCCTGATTATTCAAATGGTCATGTAAACACCATACTCCGATTTCTTAGATCGAAGTAAGGTCTAGAAATCCAATTAAGAAATAGGATAAAGAGAGCTGGATTTTAGCTCAGTAATCAGATTTCTCAGTGCATGTAAACTCTTACTCGGATTTCTTTTGAATTTCTGAGCCTGCGCATATACGAAACAGACCACGGTACTGGAAATAAGCAAGGAGCGTTGCCATGAAATGCAGCCAAACACTTTTGGATCGATGCTGAAACCAAGTACATGCTTGATAAAATGAAGGATTTAAATATTCTTCATCTTCTAGATGATGTAAGAGTTTTACATTAGGTTTATGCCGCAACTTATTGGCTGGTTGCAAAGCAGAAATCCCATTACTGCCCGACTCATGTAGACCTGGAGTTTCCCCATTATCTGATTACTCAGGTGCATGTAAATGCGTTGATCGGATCACTGACAAAATCTGATTTTCTGCAGTTATTAAGTGCATGCAAACACACACAGTGTTTAAGCTAGAGCTGTATAGTGAATGTACTACATCATTAACTTGGTGCTAACCTGACACTGGAAAGTCCATAGGGACTAAATCCCATAGCTAGCCCAATTTAATGTAATGTGCACAATTTTCCCCTTAACCCATGAAATGTTTGGAGTCTGAAATTTGCTTCTTTAGTTTTGCTAATGTAGGCTGATGGAGCTAATGAAGGCTAACATTGCTAACAAGGTTATAGTCACATGTTAGCATCATGGAAACTGTATGTCTAAATCTTCACTTGCCCCAGATCACATTACATTATTAAGAAAATTCTAAATTCTAAAATTGAAAGCTTTTATCCATACTTTTGAAAATGTTTGTTTACTATCTAAGGATGTGACGCATAAGGCCCTGTGAGCTCCAGAGCTTCAGGGAGAATACAGGAAGTAGAAAGTTGTCTTCACTTCCTCTAACAGTTGTGGCAGGATTCCTCATATTCATAAAAACATTAGTGAGCTCTGAGATGTTTTTGCTGGATCTCTCTGTTGGTCACCTCTTCCCTATTCACCAGAGAATAATGCACAGCTTGCCAAGCAAGTAGGGAGAAGGGGCAAGGTTTGGAAACAGGGCAGCAAGGGGGTGTATTCAATTTGTATAATCATGCATATTCACAAATCTTCACATTCTTAATGAGTGTTGAGGTTTAGAGATGCTCCTGTGTTGTCAGCTATTGGTGAAAAGCTAGTATTTGGCTTGATAGATGCTCGTTTCCAAACAGAAAAGCGTAGGTTTCTAAAAGTGGTAAACATGTCTGTTATTTTAATAGACTTTCTTTTTGATCTTTTTGAATATTTTAATTATCAAATGAATTGCATATTATTAAATATTTATTGCAAATGATGCCAATCTTGGTCGATTCTGTTTGTGAATCCCTAGAATATATGATGGATATTGTTGATCAATCAAATCACTCAATCAATCAGATCTTTATTTATATCTTTATTTGCACCTCTCATACAATGGCAGTAAAACTGCTTTAAGGGTTTACAGTGTGTGTGTGTGTGTGTGTGTGTGTGTGTGTGTGTGTGTGTGTTTGCTTGATTTATGGCAACTAATCATCTGTTATATTGAGCGTTTTAGATTTGCACAATGTCATGAGTTAATGATTCAGTGGGAGAGATTGAGAGAAAGTGAGGGAGAGAGAGAGAAAGAGAGAGCGTCACACACATTCTGTGCTCGAGTCGTCTCTCTTTCTCTTCTCTTTCATCTGGGTAAGTAGCTCACTCCAGTCAGTGCTGTGTGTGAATGTGTGTGGGGCTGCTGGTGGTCTTGACGCGTATGTGGTTCTGTGTTTGCCATTTAGTTAAATTTTCTGATACGTAAGCGTTTCACTGTTCATTTGCTACCGCTGTTAAACTTTTACTCTGAAAGTCTCACTCTGACTGCCTGTTGCTGTGTTAAGCTGTGTGCACTTGTCTTGCTAACATTGTGAGGACCAAATATCCTCGCAATTTTAGTGAGATTTTGTACAAGTGCACACTTTTTGCTGGTCCTGACTTGAACACATAGTTTTTTTGGTAGAAATAAAGGAGCAGAAAGTTTGCCTTGGTTAAAGTTAGGGTTAGGTTCAGTGTCACTTATACAGAAATACATGGAATAAATGGAAGTCCTCACAAATAATGTAAGACAAACTTGTGTGTGAGTACTGCAGGGAACTGTAAGTGTGTGTACTGTGCTGGCTTGACCCACATTTTAAGCAGTTACAGCCTCTTAGTTCAGGCTGGTAGTGCAGCAGTGGTAGTGGATTATAGCAGCCATTCAAGCTGAACTAAGCCGAATAGAAGATTAAATGAAAATCAAATTCACAAAATTTTCTCTTTACTTCTAATCTTGTCTATCAGCCAAGACACATTTGGTATCTGAAGTTTGCTTGTTTAGTTTTGCACTGCAGCTATGTGGCTAATGTAGCTAACAAGTTATAGTTCCAGTACAAAACTAAAGTAGCAAATTTCTGACACATCTTGGTTGATCAACATTTGAGGAAAAAGGAAAATTAGTTTTGGCGCAGTGGGTAGTGCTGTCGCCTCACAGCAAGAAGGGCCTGTGTTCGATTCCCGGCCGGGTGACCAGGGTCGTTTCTGTGTGGAGTTTGTATGTTCTCCCCGTGTCTGCGTGGGTTTCCTCCGGGTACTCCGGTTTCCTCCCACAGTCCAAAAACATGCAGTCAGGCCAATTGGACACGCTAAATTGCCCCTAGGTGTGAGTGTGTGTGTGACTGTGTATGTCTGTCTGTCTGCCCTGTGATGGACTGGCGACCTGTCCAGGGTGTATCCTGCCTTCCGCCCAATGACAGCTGGGATAGGCTCCAGCACCCCACCGCGACCCAGAAGGATAAGCGGTTTAGATGATGGATGGATGGATGGAAAATTAGTTTATTTATTTTATTTTATTTTTTTTTGTTTAAAAGGAAACTGTTTTTTCAAAATAATACAGAATGAAATTATTGAGATAAACAAAGTTCTTTATAGCGATGGTGATAGAAACCTCACGTCTGAAGTGTTTAATGTAGGACGCTGTGTTCCGATTTTTTTTAGGAAGATTTGGGAAAAAACATGCTTTTGAAACATATTAATGGTATATATATATATATATATATATATATATATATATATATATATATATATGCCATATGTAGGTTTGCTGGTCACTCTGAACAGTAAATAAGATGACTATATTTGCAAAATAGACACCTCAACCCGCTCAATTTCACTGAGAATAATGGCTCAGTATCCCATTCAGTGTCCCATTCATTAATCATGATGTCAGTATTAGAAGAAAACAATCTAGACATCAATCCGACAGGGTACTTTTATATTTCAGTCATTATAAACTAATTCTATGTTACAATTTTCCGGTCAAGTAAAATCGCTGAATCTTACAAACTTTCTGTAAACATAGTGGTTTAGTCTGAAATGGTGAATTGTGGAAAAACTTGCCAACTCTTATTTCTTTACAATAGTGGTGATGTTCAAAACACAAATATAGCCTTTTTATTTACTATCCAAAATGACCTTGAGATTATATGTAATCTTGACAAATATGTTTAAAAATACATTTTAGACTTACTCTGGAGGCCTGGCTTCTGTTATCACCACTCTGATCAATATTGACTAAGCAAGTTTCTCTAGAGTGGAGCATTTCACACCAAAACTACCAGAATGACTTTGCTTTTGTCTCAGTGACTTATGACTGGATTTAATTCAAAGGTGGATGGGGGGCAGCAGGCTGGGAGCACTGCTGTGATTGGTGTTGAGTAAAGTCTGCACTGGCATGAAATTAACTCAAACTGTTGCTGATTACTGCAGGAAACTATATTGCCACCTCTCCAAATTGTGGTTACAGATTTTACCCTTAAGCATTTTTATTGCTGCTTATCAAGCCTCACTGCCAACATGTTGCTAAGTTCCATCTACTAGCGTGCATGGACACATCACTCAGTGCATCGGAAATTTCTTTGTGATATTGGTATCCACATCACAACACTACGTTTAAGTGTTCATATTGGTGCATCTTTAATTGGAAGAAAAAGGAATTTTTAAGTTATTTATTTCTTTAAACACTTTTGCAACCTGTTGTTCTGCTGTACTGAAAGGGTGACTGTAAGAGAGACAGTGAGAGAGTGAGGAGAGAGATCACATGTCGTTTCAAAGTGTTGGCAAGATTTGCTACGTGTGTGTTTTAGCTTCTTGCTGTGGGACCTCTGACTCCTCACACACTTTAACAGGTGTATTTAAGATCAGATGTCGCATTCTCACGTGGATGATATTTCTAATAAAGTTGCATAACTCCTGCATTATAGCTGTCAATTAAACTTTATAAGCTATGTTATACAGCCTTGATATGTTTGATACCGGGACTGATGAGATTTGTTGCAGCTTGTGAAGCTGCACTTTGATTTAAGAAATGTAAAAATAATTGAATTTCAGGGTCTCAAGTTCCATTCAGACATGATTTGTTTTTCATGGGGACGTGTAGTAGTTTAATGATTACCACTGTTTCTCAGTGATTTTAGTCCCTTCTGAATCTGCCCATTCATTCATTTTTAAAGACTGTACACTCCCACAGCAGTAAAGATTCTGACACCTTTTACATTTTCTATAAAATATAGGTTTTATTACTTTGTCAGAAAATATTTCATCATATCTTGAGGAAAAGAAGTTTTTGTGTTGTTCCTTAATTATGAAGGCACTCAAGGAAGCATTTACAATTTAATATGTTCTGGCCTACCTCAAGTGCAGGACTGTGAACATTAAAACATTAATATTGACCGTTGGCTGCAGACTCCCACATAAATGGATATGCTAAATACCTTGTGCATAACTTAAAACAGTCAGGAAGATATTATATTGAGTTATTATAAGTCAAATAATAGCTAAATTAAATGTTTCAACATGCTTTCTACTCTTTTTTGGAGCAAAGGCAGTGAGCAAAACAAGTGGCTACTCCCATCCTCATTTATAGGGATGTTTCTTACCCTGTGCGAACTGACCATAAACATTACAGATGACTGTAACTGTATTACCCTACTTCCCAGTGCAAAACGAATCCTGTCTGAATAGACATGGATTGGTTGATTCTGTGATTGAGAGATTATAAAATAAATAAAATAAATAAATACAAACCCAATTCCAAAAAAGTTGGCGCAGTATGTGAAACGCTAATAAAAACAGAAAGCAGTGATTAGTAAATTCTTATTGACCTATAGTAAATTGAAAATGGTGTAAAAACAATTTTTTATATTGTACCTTAGGAATCTCATTGTTTTTTGTAAATGTAGGCTCATTCCAAATATGATGCCTGCAATATTTTCCAAAAAAAATTGGGACAGGAGCATTTTATCACTGTGTTAAATTACTTTTCCTTTCAACAACACGTAATAATCGTTTGGGGAGTGAAGACACCAATAGGTCCAGTTATATGAGTCTTCAGCTGTGCAACTGCACAGGGCATCTTTATCTTAATTTCAGCTATAACAACATACATCACCTTTTGTTTTTAATATGTAAAGCGTATGGATGTGTTTATAGAACTCACTCATTAACACATTTTGCAGTCTGAAATTTCTCCACAAGTGAGGCTATTAGCACAAAAGACACTTTTGGTGTGTCATTTAAAGAAGTCAAACAGTTGTGAACCCACACTAAAAGGATCTCACTAAAGCAACAAACCTTTCAAAAAAGTTACTCAGTGTTATATTAATTAGTATGTGACTTCATAAGGCTAATGCTAAAATAGATGAGATAAAGATAACATGGACCATAGGTATAATTGCAGCAGAACATGTTTAAGGGTTGCTGCCCACGTGTCATTTTACATCAAACAATCGCTTCAATAAGTAATACTGTGCAATAGATTGTGATGTAGTGTTTGTGGTCTTCAGACAGTAAAAGAAGATCTTGTAGGATGCACATGGAAAAATGTATTTATTTATTACTTATTAATGAATTTATTACTTCATTTATTTATTTATTATTTTGTGAGCACAAACACGCCATTGGTGCAAATTCAAGGGGGGGGGGTGGCTACGTCACTCCCACTTTTTTAAATTATGCAAGGTATTTTTTGTGAGGTAGCAGGATAGTTGTCGAAAAGAGTGCATAGCTTATGTTATGCTAATATTTCCCACCAAAAAAAAAACAAAAAAACAGTATAACTGCATATGTCAGAATGCACCATGTGCACACTAAGCTGTGTAAATGAGTATCACTGTCTGTATACAGTAGCACTTAGTGAACAGGTAGCCTAATAGCTAATTTCACTACCTTTTATTATATGAACATTGTGATTATTTAAATCTACCGAAAAGTTTGGATGTCCCTGGTCAAATGACATGTTTTGTTGACTTTCTAGATGGAAAATATTACTATTATTTGCTCAATTTAACACAGTGAAAAAAAAATAAAACTAAAATGAAAAATAAGACCTGCACAAAAGTAAGGGTACATTTTATATTGCATGTTTTTCCCCCTATTTATTTGTTTTAACTTAAACAAATAAATAGAAATGCCATATTTAAGCTTGCTCCCCATAAAAGACGTCTTCAGAAATCAACAAAACATGTCATTTGACCCAGGGTGTTCAACCTTGTTATGTGTTTTAATACTAAGATATAAAGCACTAGATATCATGATAACATGGGAACTCCCTGTATTTTCTTTCTTTTATGTGGTGTGAGTAGTGATGGCATATCAGTATAGATGGGTATCACTAT